GCTTAAGTCATACCCTTAATGTTATTTGAAAGTATTTTTTTGTGGTTTAATATATACTATAACTTTTTCTTTTGTGACAACTGGATTTATACTGGCTTCATCCCTAATACCACTGGAAACTGGAAGCAGGTCATAGTGTGAGCCTGTCTTCCAAATATTTTAAACAGAAAGTCACCATTCGGCACTCATCGCTCTTGTTCTCCAATAAAAGTTCAGTGTTCCACTTCAATTAGAATGATACCTCTTATGTCAATACCACATCCAACTTGTAGACTATTTGTCCTCCTGAATGCTGAAGGTGAACAAATGAACAAAAATATCCTTGTACTTTTCTGCTTTTACACATATGAAAAGACCTGTGTTTAGTGGAAAAAAAATAAAAGGTATTTTTTTTTTCACCAGAAATTTTTTCTTGTATTTTAACTTGATTTTCCTTGGTTGGTTACATGATTATTCTATGGTCAAATATTTTTATGCTACAGATTGCATTCACATTGACCAAAATCTGCCTATCTCACCAGTAAGTACTACTAATATCTTCATATTAAAGCTATAGTGCTTGGTTGTCTGAGTAACATTACACCACATAATGGAGTAAGTCAATGTGCAGTTGTTGATGTGAAGTCCTGCCTCCTAATGACTTCTCAGGTCAGAGAGCTGAAGTGTATTGCTGAAATACAAGCTTGTCATAAAGGTGTAATTCAGCATTTCAGTTTGAGAGGAGCAATTTTAGAACCTGTGGTTTTCTGGCCTTTGTACCTTTGTTTTGCCAGGACAATACCATTAGGCTTATTTTCTACTTTGTGCAAAAATTGGTAGGATATAATTTGTGATGGTGGGCATTGTGATGAGTATATAATTTGGGGATGTGTCAGAATGTCTCTCTTTTAAGGCCATCTTCCATTATTTTTTAATTTTATAAATTGAATAATCAAGCAATAATCATCACTGTCACATAAATGGAAGGCCAGATTGTCTCCCATTTCAAGAAGCTGAGAAGCTGAAACAGTGTTAGCCTTATGCAAAATGGTCAAAATTTAGTTCTAAAAGACATTACCTCTGCCAGCCACTGTCTAAAGGGGATTGCTCAGAACATTTTGTAAGGTCTATACTTACAGGAGAAATACCTTTTACATAGATTTGTGTATCGGTTCAATGCTGTCTAATTACATTAAAGAGCACTTAAAAAAAACCCTTCATTTTTACAGCTGTCTTAAGCATTCCCTTCATTAAATGAAGCCCTTTCTTCCTCTGTTGTCTGACATAGCTTTCACTTTGAAGAACATCTTTAATAAGGTGGAGAAAAAACACCTTTTTACTCTTGAAAGTCAGTTGGGAAATTTTGGCATTTGGCAGATTATTGTTAATTTTTTTGTAATCTTATTTGCCCCCAGTTTTTCTCACCTGTTACAAGATCCACACACTTACCCCTTACATCACTTGTACTTTTCTCACAATGCAAAGAAGTCGAGCTGTTCTGGTTTTTTTGTATGGGGGCATTTTAAATACATCTGGAGATTGTCATGGTGAACCACATGGCCTATTTATTCCACCTTCCATTTTGGTGGCTGGCAGAACTGAGGGCATAAAGGCTCTCGAAAACCCAGGCTGAGGCAGTATTTTTCCAGTAATTGGTGTAAGCGCCATTAACTTAAGTTTTTCATCAGTATGGTTTTGCAGAAGCAACAAAAGTTCACAAGACTGCGAAATCTCATCAAAAACAGGGTAATGTTCTGGTAAAGGAGACATCTTCCCAGATTTTTAAAATTAAAAAAAATCTCATAAAAATGAGAGTGGTGATATTGTGGCAGGTGAATAGTAGTAAGGTCATTGTCTTGCTGCATCCAGGGGGCAGATCGTCTCTTTTTTCATCTTGTTTCCATTCTTTTGGGCTGGTCTCTAAGTAGCAAAAGGAGTTTGTTTGCTCCTGCAAAACACAGTACAGTACAGAGGAGCGTGTGTGTCTATGTATGGACGCACACAAGTGCACAAAACCACAGAGGTTAGTTTTAATTTACTTCAAAATGCGTAAGTGTATTTGGGAGATGGAAACTAAGAGAATTCATAATAAGACTGAATGTAGTCCAGGAACCTTGTAAGATTTGAGACTAGAAAGCTGTTTTCCAATCTTTCATGTATGGAAATACCAGATGAGTCAATGGGTGTTCTCTGAGCTAGGAGCTTACAGAGCTTCTCTCTCCATGTCAGCAGCATCGTCTTATAACTTGTTTTTAAAGACCACCCAGTATCCACAGCCACTTCTGATTTAACTGGAGCTTTGGGTGCTCAGTGCCCCTGGAACTGGGCTTATATCTGCCCTGGTGCTTCTGGAAAGGCAGTCACACAAAAACAGTTTAGAGAAATTAACATCTGGCATTCAGGATAATGTAAGACTTACTAAAGGTGACAATTCTTGGTAAAAAATTAAACTAGAGATTTTAAAACAAACAAACCAACCCCCTCCCACCCTTCCCCCCACCCAAGAAAACCCTAAAACAAACAAACAAAAACAAAACAAAAATCAAACAAAGGAAAGAAAACCTGACTTAATCATTGTGTAATAAAAATGTGCTTTCAAAATGCTTTTGGCTACAAACAGTTTGGAGCAACCAACTGCAATCTATTAAATTTCAGCTCACAGGGATTTTGCTTTTTCCTCAACCTTTTCTGGTATATTATATAAGTATTTTTAGGAAATTCACAGTTCTAATTGAGTTAAAAATAAATATCTAGTTTTATAAGGAGAAACCAATTAATATCCAGCTTCTAAGGTAGACTTTTGAAACTAAGGAGATTTTTCACTATTGATTGATGGATATGTTCTATATTATTTTTTTTTTTTCCTCTGGGACTTATTTAATTTTAACTTTAGGGTAAAATCCAGCCTGATTTATGCAAGTGTCATTATATAGAATGCTGGAATTTTTATTACATTTCTTTCTTTGGGATGAATAAAGTAAGCCTAAGTTCCCTTAGGGAGTATGTCTATCTAGAATAAGATGTTTTTCAATATCCATCTTATATGGGAGAGATTTTTACATGTAATCATTCATGAAGGGTGAAGGTATAAGTAACATAGGCAATATTAAAATGCTAAATAGGTACTTATAATTACAGTAATTCTTTATCCACGTAGACCTTTCAACAGTTTCAATGAGAATTGAAACCTGCTCATCTGAATGGTCATGGAAATAACTAGTTTTACAAATGAATGAAAAAAATAGGCTATGTTGTTTGGGTATTCTGTTTTGGAAGTAAGGAAGCAATGAAATCTAATGACTAAATCCTTCTTTCATAGATTTTCAGAGGCACCCCATTATCAGCTACTCTACTTTTGTAGGGTTTATTAAATATTTTATGGAAAAGTCCCATTTCACATGGTATCAGGCTCTGTTAGGATGGTGGTTCTTATATCTAGGAATAGATGTGTGCTTAATGGCTAGAAGTGTTCTACATTGCTTCTTGGAAGCTAATTAAAGACAATTAGTGCTTGCTTTGGAGCTCTGATGATTTCAAATCTTTTTAGAGGATTCATCTAGTATCCCTACTTTTCCCACCATTCTTTTTTCTTTTTTTTTTTTTTTTGACTATGACAGATATAAACAGCTGAATTATTTGTGATATGAAATTGATGAAATTATTTTTATCAAAGTTGCCATGAAAACAATTTTGAGTGGTGTCAGAAGAGATGGGGATGTAGGAGAGAAGACTGGGCCTTTCCTTAACTGGAGGAAAAAGTGGTCTTCAGGTAACAAGTCTGAGGTGACAGGATCAGAGAGAGAGAAAGGAGCTGCTTGGTGAACCAAATATCAATAGTCCAGTACATGGGTCAGGGGGCAGTAGGAACAGGAGGTAGATGTAGCCTGGGAACTGATTTTGGTACCTGATTCAGAAAAAAACAATTTTCAGTTTGGTCCTTGTAACAAACTGATGGAAGAATTAAAAGAAAATGTAAGTGTTGGGCGGGGGAAAATTACTTGGAAGCATCTCTGCCTACCTATTTTGCCAGGAGAATACCATTGGTTTTGGTTTCCATTTCATGCAAAAATTGATAGGATATAATTTGCAATGATGGGCATTATGCTGAGTATATAATTTGGGGATAGGTTAGAATTTGCCTCTTTTAAGGCTGTCTGCAGTTATTGTTTGATAAATTGGATAATTAAGCAATAATTATCACTGTCACATAAATGGAAGGCTAGATTTCCCTCACTTCAAGAAGCTGAAAATCTGAAAGAGTGTTAGCCAGATGGAGAGTGGTCAAAAGTCATCTGTACTATGCCTTCAACTTGAAAACAAAAGAAATATATTCTTGAGTTTAAGAAATAACTAAGTAACTTAGTGCTTACACAGAACTCTTTTGCTTTCAGGTGAGATGCTCTGAATAACAGAGATAATGAACCTTAAGCCTTCAACCTTCCCATTTGTTTTTATGGAGATAAATTCAGACTGAGGTAAGTATGATACAGAATCTATGAACAATCATGAATCAACACCCTACACAGCATTCCAAGTTCATATTTTCTGGGAAAAAAAATCTTAAGTGTATACTATAATAAATTAGCAATACTACTGTAATTTACTATATTGATAAATTTTACTAAAATTCTTCTAGTAGTGAAGCTATTCTAAAATTAGGCTTTGTCTTGTAGTTCATGGAGCTTTATATACTGAAGAATGAATCAAAAAATACTGCTTTGTGTTTATTTGAAAGCAGAACTTTTGAAGAGCATCATACTAATTCTGCAAAGCTTAGCAAATATTTCTGAGATTTCCAGGAACTATCTTCCTGCGTAAAAAAGGTGGTAAAGGAACATTTTCTACTGGTACTAAGGTTACTGGGGAAAGTTCATGGACTCGGGGAGGTTTTCGGGGTGATTAACCTCAGGTGCCAAGGCTGATCCATAGTATTTTTTTCTCTGAGAAATAATTCATTCTGATCTGATAAAAGAGGTACAGCAGATCATGTTCTTACAACTGTCTGTACCAACACTTGTGGATGCAATATTGTATATTCCGATATAGAACAAGGCTCTGTATTAAACAAAGGGATCGGTGGAAAGGCCTAGATTTAAAAAGGGTCTTCAATACTTCTTTCTGGGCTCCTCATGCAGAAAATCATTGGCTGCCAGGTAAACTAGATCTGGACAGATAATCTTCATTGCTTCATGAATTGTTGTCTCTAAAGCTTTTATTGTTCTGTGTAGATGATTAACGCATTTACAGATGACTCTGCACTTACTAGTCCTGATGTTCTCCCAGGGACAGCATGAATACAAGCTCTTCCATGAAGTTGAATAGATCTTCTCAAAGACCCACTGGCTCAACCTCCTCCTAGGTAGAGGGAAAATAAATGTCTTATTGTCAAAATATTGTGTCATTTCAAGGTTTTAAGACTTAACTAGGACTATTGAAAAAGACACATTGGATTAGAGGAGCAATAAACACAGAAACTGTAAGAGAGACCCTCTGGGACACGCTAGTCTGTGAGAATTTTGTGAAGAGGAAAGATAAAAGAAAGGTTAGATAGGTCTTCAGTGTGCTGAATGTCTCTCACTTTTTTCTATAGAATAATATAACTGAACTGTGCTAAACTCAATTTAAAATTTTACTTTGTTTGACCTTTTCCAGCTTAATGACACAGTTGCAGTGGTAGGACACAGGAGACATGCCAGTGACAGTGACTAAATAAAAAAAAAAACATTAAGAGAAACCGAGTATATTTTTGCCTAGCAGAGAACAAAAACATTGTTTTCCTGAAAGCCACATGAATTAGTTTTCCAGGTGTTGAAAAAGGGCATTGGACATCAATAGAAAAGAACTGGAGGAGAGAGCTGGGTTTTAGAAGTTGTCCTTTGGACAGTGATCATACTTATTATAATATCTCCATATAAATTTTATATGAAAATAAACACTGAATTTGCAAAATAGTCCCAGACTTAAATAGCATTAAGGTCACACTCCAAGTGGATATTTTAAAATGTGCTTCACTTTACTGACTTTAATTACTGTCCCTCTCTACCTATTTTCAGATGTTACCTCAAATCTGATATGGATAAATGAAAACTTAATCTTTTCCCTGTTAATCCCTTTTGCCTTCTTATTAATCACTGTGAATAATGCTAATCTGTTTACTCAGCCCCAGAACCCAGGCACAACCTTTGGGTTGGGCTTGAGTCCAGACCTTCACATCCAGGCTCTGCGTGTGTCTTTGCCATCTGAGACCTCTGTTCTGGGCTGGAATAAATCTGCCTCTTTTAGAGAATATACCCTAACTATATATATACAGCGGAAGCAAGCAGTTTAGATCAGATAAATTTTTAGCAGGCCACAGTTGGATAAAGTGAATTCCTAGATGAAATTATGTGGGCCTGGATCAAGGATTTAGCAACATGTAAGAACAGAAAAGGTGGAATATGAAAGATGATCTGGAGAAGGAACTTCAAGGCATAGCATCATTTTGAGACATCTAGGCAAAAGTGTTGTTTTTATTCTCTCTAGAGTTAATAAGATCTGCTTCTTTCTATTTTATTTTATTTTTAATTTCTGAAGAAAGGTGGATCCCTGACATTTGTTCTCTTTAAAACAAGAATTAAGATACATGTGTTGGAAGAATTTACTGAAGTCACCCAAAGTGTAAGTATTCAAAAACCAATGGGCTTTGAAGATGGCATTGAAAAGCACAGTTTTTACACCAGACAAGGAATAGGTGCAATAAATTAAACCTGAGCCAAAGGATTCTGTTAACTTTTGCTGGTGGATGCAGTGGGCTGATTGTGACAGCTGATATTCTCTTCAGCCCCCGAAGACTTGAAGCTGTAAGAGTAGGTGACCACCTGAGAAGATTATGCTGTCTTCATGGCCCAGAATGCAGGCTGATTTTCCTATGATTTGGGGAATTGCTTCTGAATCAATTCTGATAAGCACCTGGGCAATCCCTTCCTTTTCTTGACACTTGAAGTGAATGACCTGTCAAGGCAAATACTTAATTTTCTAGAATTATTTTCTAAATTTTTTTCTAAAATATGAAGTCATTTGGTATATAAACTGTATGGATTTTTTCTTGTTTCATGTCTATGGCAAATCTAAATCTGTGTTTGATCAATGGAGAAGGAGAGAGGCCTCTAATTTTCTCCTGTTTTGTAATTAAAATGTTCTCTTACATTCCTGTGTGAAAAAAACAGAGCTTTAAATAATAAAATAATAAGTTTTTCTTTTTTTTTGTTTGTTTCTTTGGGTTGGTTGGGGTTTTTTTGTTTGTTTTGGTTTTTTGGTTGGGTTTTTTTTGTTGGGTTTGGTTTTTAGGTGTTTTTTTTGTTTGTTTTTTGGGGTTTTTGATAAATTATAAAAATGGAAGTTTATTTTTAAGCAGGAAGTAATTTTTTTTTTGTTCGCTTATATGGACTCCAATTGCAACTGAAACAGATTTTTATTTATTTGAAGAGGGCTATGAATGTTCATAAAATAGATATTTAGATTACCTGAATGAGTACCATTTTTTAAGGCAGACAAGGCACATAAATTTATTCCATATTTCCAGACTTTTCTACTTTTCTGGCAATTTAAAGCACATAATTCTCACCTGCATTTTTCTAGCCTTCGTTACACATCAAAAGCCTAACAAACACTAAATGAAATCTATTTTTTTTTATTTTTGAATGACTATTCAAGCAAGCTTTGTTGTCCAGATATCCAAAATCTCTGTATGGTATTCACTGCTGAGGATAACCCGATCTCAGGAAGACTGAAGGTAAAAGATTTCATGGGCATTATTTAAGTAGAATTACCACCTAAGTGAAATGGGAAAACATCACATGACAACCAAAAAAAACTGTCTCGTTAAAAGATGTCTTAAGTCCAAATGAAATAAGAATATCATGGAGTCTAGTTTAAAATTGATGTGAAAAATTGGAAGAAATTTGCAAGAAACTTTTCCATTTTGTTTTAAGAAAATGAATGGCTATGTTCCCATTCCTGTGGAAAATTTTGGAGGTACCTCACATAATTTATAATTGATTTTCCACTAAACTGTTGAAGAATCATTTTTGCTTCTGTTGCTAAAGTGCAGCACCAGCAAAAAAACCTGCAGAACATCTTGGCAAATTCTTCAGTAATTACTTCTACCTCAAAAACCTGAAAGTATGATTTTTTTTGGTTTGTTTTTAGGGCTTTTTGGGTTTTTTTTTGTATTAGAAAAAGAAAATACTGTAAACATGTTGAATACATTATTTCCATAACGTATTCCTATTCAGTAGGCTCATAGTACTGTAGTTCTTTTCAGCTGAACATTTCAAATGACACTTTAAGGTAAATCTTATAGATTTTAGATTTGAAATTTCGTAATTCCTTTTTAGAGTGCTTGGATCTAATCTCTGACTTAAAAGCCATACTTGAGCAAGTGTCAGACTTGTGCTTGGTTTACTCTTTCCTAGATTTCTGAGAGTCTGGATATTAGGAGTTTTAAATAATCACCTCATGAGTTTTATTACTCTATAATAAGTCTCTCAGCTTTGACTTGCTCCTGAGTTTTCTCTAGCAATAAAAATGCTTTATTATCTGGAGAGCAACTTAAAGAACTCAGGAATTTAATTTAGTGTGTGAGAACTTCGCCCAGAACTTGAATGCAATACAAAGAGCCATTAGAATCAACCTTAATTGAGCAGTTCACTAGAAATCAAGGAGAAATTTATCCCTTCACCTGAAGTACAGTTTTATCTGCACTGTTTTGGTGTCTCCTGATTGATACAGACAAGAGCTGAGATGTACATTTTTCATGCTCATTATTGTAGTCATGCTGTGGAGGATGAAGTCTTCAGCTAAAGGTGAAGGTTCTTTGGAATTAAATACACATTTTACTGCTGATGTCAGGGATACTAGCATTTTTCCCTTAGTTTCCATAAAAATCAACCTGGAATCATTCCCCATTGTCATGGTTTAGCCCCAGCCAGCAGCCAAGCCCCACACATCCCCATGCTCACTCCCCCACCAGTGGGATCAGGGAGAGAATTGGAAGGGTGAAAGCTGGAAAACTCATGGGTGGAGATATAGACAGTTTATCATGGAAAGCAAAAGCTGTGCACACAAACAAAGTAAAGAATCAAGTCATCTCTTCCCATGAGCAGGCAGGAGTTGAGCCTTCTCCAGGAGAACAGGGGCCTATCACATCCAAGGATGACTTGGGAAGACAAATGCCATCACTCCAAATATCCCCCGCCCTTCCTCCCTGCACTCTGTACACTGAGCACGATGTCATACGGTCTGGAACGTTCCTTTGGTCAGTTTGGGTCACCTGTCCTGGCTGTGTCTCCTCCCAGCCTCCCGTGCACCCCCAGGTTCCTCACCAGCCTCATGAAAAGCAGCAAAAGCCTTGGCTCTGTGTAAGTCCTGCTCAGCAATAGCAAAAATATCTCTACACCATCAACCCTGTGTTCAGCACAAATCCAAAATACCAACCACTGTGAAGAAAAATAACTATACCCCAGTCAAAACCAGCACACCAATGCACTACACTGATTTTTCAGTCCTATCTCTGAAGCATCTTTTGCAAAATTACTTACACAGTTAATCGCAGGGAAGCTAAATGAAAGGGTTTCACTCGTTCTCTCAAGCAACTTTTTATTTCCTAGACCTCTTGAGAATATATTTTATTTTAGCTGTGCTATTAGTTCTGGTCATATCACTGATAGGAGAAAGTGTGTGTAAGATTAGTTTCACTGCCAGTGCTCATATCTATATATTTCACTTGACAGTGGTGAAATTTACAGACTCTTCGAAAAATATTTCCGCCAGTATTTTCTGTTGCTACAGAACCATCATATAGCTGGAAAAGTACTGCTTAGGAGACAGGTGCACACCTTTGTTTCCCATTTCCTAACATCTAATGTTAGATCATGCATATTAAATTTCTAAAATTTAGTTTTAATCAAGCTTATTTTCAAAGTTCCCATTTTTACCTGTTTCTGGATACACAGCCAAAACTGGATATTATTAAGTTTTTTGACTTGAAAACCTTCAAATAAATGCTAGAATATTAACTGAAAACTCTGAACTGAAATGCCATTTACCTGACGATGTTGTTACCACATGAGGTTCAAGCCAGTCTTGACTACTTTCTACATCTGTTTTATGCCTTCAAATTAGAGCCTGTTCTGCACTTCAAGGAGGGTATTTCTAGTTTAGATATATTTCATAATTAATAAATTGATTCCTGTCTTTGAATTGATTGTGCAGTGACTGATACTGGAAATTAAAATTAAACAAAAAATCCTAATTTATCGATGACATAGAATTTAGGGTTTTTTTCCCTTGCAATGTATATCTGGGGTTTTGGGGTTTTTTTCTTTTCTGTGATGATTGATCATTTCTAAAGCTCTAAACACATATATATATAATGCATATCAAATGAGCTTCACCTTATTTAAGGTAATACCTATCTTTATCTAGCTAGGGGGAAAGTATGAAATCTGACTTCAGGTTAGCAATCTATTATTGTATTGTTTCAGGTTTCAAAATAATTGTCATTCACTCTCTGTAATCAGAATTAATGACTCAAGGCTTCTTTCCTCAGATATTTTTGCTATGGTGGACTTTGTCTGTGAATGATCTCATGCTGGTATTTATAAGTGTGATGTGACTTTATTTCTTGAAACGACATTAGAAGTTTTTTTGATTTATGTGACTTATTTGTAATTCTTTAGGATGCTAATTCTAATTATTTAATTTTTTTTAGTTGACAGGCTTGATGGATACCATAAAAAGGAGTCCTTTTTATTTATTAATTGTTTAATTTGGTAATAATAAAATGCTACTTCATAATTAAATTGTTCTGTAAGCTCACAAAGACAAAACTGTCTAGGAAATTAATGGAAAAAGAACTCTCATCCCTTTCTCCTCTATTTAAAAAAAGAAATTTTATCAATTTTCAAGCTAACATATGCCAAGAGAAAATTACTGTGTAACTTCTTACTCTCAAAACTGCTCTTCAGTCAGATAGAAAATAATGGCCAAAGATTTACTCCATAGATCATGAAGAGTACTTCAATGCATGGAAAAATAAGAGGACACATCTACTTTTTTATTAGCTGAGTATTAACCTTATTTTCACAATTCTATGAGTTCCTTTTAATTACTGTGAATTTAGATTTGTTCAAGTGAAATGATTGAGTTCCTCTGTGTAATTTGTTCAGGCTTTGTTTTTTGTTTTTTGTTTTTTGTTTTTTTTTAAGAGATGCTTTAGAACAGGAATTATATGCTGGAAGACACTTTTGGTTCAGATAAGTGCACAGGTTTGGAGTAGGAGAATGCAAATACATATAGGACTTAAGAGTGTATGATGAGATCCTCAGCTATTTTAAATATGTCTTTGAACAGATTCAAATGGATGAAAATAGTCCTGGATGTAAATGTGTTGATAAAAACTAATCTACCTTTTTTTTTTTTTTAAATTAAGTCATTTGATAAATGCAAAAGAAACTGTAAATACTCCAGACTAAGTTATCTTCCCTTCTTATGTCTCATATTTTCGTCTGCTGTGATGTCTCTGAGGCATACAAATTCTTTCTGATTCAATTTTTTTTTCTTTCTTTCTTTCTTTTCATTCTGATTTCACCTTGCCTTTCACCTCTATTACTCTTTTCCATCACAGAATCTGCAAACACAATCTCTTGTTTTGGAGCCAGTGATTCTCTTTGACCCAAATTTTTACCCAAGGTGTTACAAACAGTAAGATGCAATAAATATCAAATAATACAATATTCAATTCCGCACTGTGATTTGAAAAGTGAAAGAAAATTATTAGTGTTTTGTACAGCATGAAAGAAATTGTCACTTAGTCACATGCTGCAGAAATTTATACAGATAGCTGAAGCTCTTTTCACATGTTAGCAGTTCTGTATGCAAGAAAATTCTGACATTTTCCATTATTAAGTGATTTTTTTTAAAGTGCTTTTAGCTTTGCTAGAATTAACCTACTGGAGTTGAAATTTCCTTGTCTGACCAGAGCTGGTTTTATTCGTTTTAAGTTTCAGTTTGGCGGAAGATAAGTTTTACACATCATCTTACACTTGTTGCCATGACAATAATGATCATGAGTATAGTCTTTGGAGCAGGGACTTGCTATGTGAGAGAAGGATGTTTTGAGTTTTAGGAATGGACCATTTACTTGCCCTTGAAAATTTGTTCAGTTTTGGCTAACTCATAATTATTTGAATAGTCTTAACTTATACATCCTCAGTAGAGTTTTGTTAACAAATTTTCACACACATTTTATGACTGTTCCCTACATCTAAGGCACACTTAGTTTTCTCAGACAGCAGATGGGCAATTTATACTGCTTGAAACATCTTCAGTCTCACTGAGGAAATACCTGTTTTCATTGTTTTCAGCACACTGCATGAAGAACATCCACACCATGCAAAATTTTACTGTTTTCCAGGCTGGCTTGTAATGACTGGTGTCACAGATGGGTGACACAATGGTTGGATCTTACAATTAAGGGATGAATATTATGTGTATGTTAAGAGAAGTTCCATTGATGTATAGTAATGTTATTGTGATTTGTTGTTTAGGCATCCCCTGTTCTCTCCATAGTCCCCTTTCCCCCGTATGGTTGCCAAGGGATGGCCTTGGTGGTCGGGACTTGTGGCTGGAGGGCGCGAACCTGTGCCCTTCCTTACGTGGGGCAGTTGGGAATGGGGAAGGCTTGTTGCTAGGGGGCGTGGCATGGCAACACCTGACCTCCAATCAAGTTGC